ATATCAATACACAATGCAAAACGATCAGAAAATTGACCAGTACCGTTCATGAGGGTAGGAGGTTAGTAATTATTGTTGTCCTTAATTTGTGTATGCTTCGTCAAAAGGTGACATTTTGGTCTGTGCAAATGGAAGATAGTTTTTGAGGTAAGGCTCGTCCAACCTGCGTAGTGATTGTATCCTTTATCACGGCAAAAATGCGCGATTAATGCCTCCTTGACACGTCGTTGCAAGTCAAGAAAATGCAATAGAACCTTAGGGATTGTGCAACATACCAAGAAGCAAAGTCATCACCCTAATGATCAGAGTGTACTGGCATCATCAAGGAAGGACACCGGCTAACAGATGTGTCAAGGAAGCACTGATGATTCAGTGATACAGCAAAGTCAACTGTGCAAAAATATCAACTCTTCGGATATTTGATGTGCCTTATCGCCTAGAAACTATTTCACAATCAGCTGAAACCAAATGTTTGCCCTTTGATTTCAAAGCAGTCGACCACTGCGTACAACAAATCCTTCGGTAACTCTACAAATCGCCTACCGTGAAGGAGGTACGCGAGAGAAAATCTGAAGCGTTGGTAGTGGTCGGCATCGGATTAACTATAAATATAGTTAAAGTTACATTGTGTATAAGTAAACCTTGGTTTAGGTTATTCTTCAGTTCAAAAACCAACGTACGAACGAAATTCTCTCTTAAGGCCTAAATGCATTGAACGTACCTCGTCCTCGGGTGCGAAGGAAAAGAATCTGTTGTCATTATGAATGTACAGTCCAACGCTCAAAGTAGTAATATATTCTGTTTAATCAAATCTATGCATTTAGAGTTTTATTGGTTAGCTCTCAGAATTTCATGCGAGGGAAATTAACAATCGCGAGTGGCATCGATCGTTTCGACCCTATCGTACCACTTTAATTCTTCCTATTTCACGCTGGATAGATAATTTCGTCATGAACCTGGCGAAGACAAGGTAATTGACTTGGTCGTCTTCTTAAAGCCCTCCACCTCTGCATTTCACTTTTGGGTCGTCAATACCGGATGAGTTTGTCATAACTTGACTTCAGGTATTGAAGACCCGGCAACTTTAACAACACTATCGCGTACGGAGGTCATACGCGATAGTGCTACGTACGATACAGTCCCCTTTCCTTATTACCCACCATTACAGTATACTCTGCGTATACCACGTTAGCAAGATATATAGCCGACGTTCTGGAGTGGACTCTAGGTTGAGACCTTCTTTGCCAGGGTCAGCAGCGTTTCGCAGAAGGAAGTTAAGAACAAAGTCAGACAGCAAAGGCACAAGTACACCCCACCACTAGTGAACTCCATGATTAATAGTTAGTCATTCAGATAGCTTTCCTTCACATTAACAGCTGCGCAAATGTTTTAAAATGCTAAAATTGTCCTTTAATATTTCGTGCTTTCTTGATATTTTTTGCATCGTTTGTCCTGTATTACATGCAACGCCACGTCAAAATTGAAGGAAGCTTGCAAGCCAAGGAAATTAAAATTCTCGGCACTGCGCAATGATCTCACGCAGAGTGAAAATTTTGTCGTGGCAGAAGTATTTCTTGCAATAAATTGCTTTATATGGGCAAATTCTCCAAATAGATCGCAAGAAATCACTTCATTTATTGTTGAACGGCTGCAATCTATTTATTATTTATTTAATCGTTAAAATGTGGTACTGAATTAAATTTCCTAAAATAAGGGAAACATTCTCTTAGTCACGAATTCTTTTGAAGAAACGTTTACCTCGCATTCAAGCATTTTACGCTGCTACAACACCTTTTAAATCCTTTAATAGCTGACTATATAGCACAGAATCAGCGCTAGGGGGTAACCGCTGTTTGTTCGAATCATTGTTATTGAAGTTGGTCATAATTGCTCATAATTATAGTACAAATTAGTCATCTATTCACATATTTGATGATGAGCAGCAAAACCTGCATTTCGTATTCAATGATGAAGTTTTGTATGAGCATCACGGTCGTAAGGGAATTGGTGCTTAATGTCACTTTGAACGCCGCGAATGAGCGAAACAGCAAATTCTACGGACCGTGATTCACTGAGGAACAAAACTTTTACGGCATGTCGCGGTTTGTTCTTGGAGATGCTGTATTACATATCGCAGGAGGTGCACCCTGGCTTCGGGATCCAGCGACAGGCTCTAGATTACGTGGAGGAGCTGATCATTCGGCTTCTGCTGGAGATTGTTGACAAGAAGCCGCACACCGTCAGCGATGTGGCGCGCTACGTGGAGAGGACATTTCCGAAACCGATCAACCTCTGGGCAGTGACTGAGGCTCACGACTTGGTCATGCGCAATAACCGACTGAAGCATCGCCAGACGAAGCTGCCTACGCCAAAGGTCCACTTGGCTCTCAGGGTGCGCCACTTTTACACAATGCTTTCTATATCTTTTTCTTCTATTTTTTTTCTTGATATCCGTCAACAAATGACTAGAAATTAAAGGAATTGTTTCTTAAGACAACTGAGTTACTGCTGCGGCATTTGATATGTTCATCATAAGAAGCGTATATTGTAGGCTCATTTCTGTCTACTAATCTAAGTTTTTGTGGCCGTTAAGTTTATGTTATAAATTAACATATTGTATGGCTTTAAAAACATTTTATAAACTCATTAAATTAACTTATCAGACCAGGTTCTGAGCTGTAGCAGATGGTTAAATAGTACTAATCTGTTTCAGGCCGGGTCATGAACGACCACGTAGTCAGAATTGTCAAGCTGAATAAGAAACTCTCCGAAGAACTCAGAAATGGCTCGAGTGTCAGAAGCTGTTAGAAAATATTCTTACTATAGAATCAAACCACATTGCGTAGAAGGATAGGGGTCAGTTAAGAAATTGGCAAGGCTTATTAAAAGTTGATCTACTCGTGATGAGGAGTATGTCATTTGTTGAGGCTGTTAATGTTTAAAATTAACCATGAACTTCCTTTCTGTATGTCGGACATCATTAATCTGCAGTAGACGGAACTGTTTAGCTGCTGCTCTTCAGATAACGATGACAAGCAGCAACATTCTGCTACGCGTCACTTCGTTTCAATTTTCCAAACCGAAGGCGCCTGGTTCATTACAGTTACAGTGTAGAAGTTGAATTTAAAACATTCTGAGTTAGTCACTATTTTGCATTGCGTAATTGAAGTTCAGAAGGGTTTTAAAGTAAATTGTTAAATGTTAAACGTCCAGTGGTATACTTTATCCAAAGTCTTAAATATTTTTGATGCTTTCAGTTGAAATTTTGACTTGTAAAATATATGAGCATTAAAAATTTAAACTGCGAAGAAGCACAGTTCCGTTTGTGTGTTTGTTGACGTTTCCACGTTAAGTCGCTTCTTTAAGAACGTCTGGTGTACCTGTATTCGCATCCTTGCAGTACTTTTATGTGGCACCACTACTGCATGGTAGAATGAAATGTTTCTCTGCGAAACATTCGCTTTTACTTTGTTCCTCCATGTTGCATGCTGCCCTCGCAGTTGACGTCTGTCGTGTTTCTGCACCCAAAAGAGAAACTCCTGGGCTCGAGTACATATTGTATGCTCAGTCAGCTTGTTCGCTAGAGCCAATCTCCGTTTTTAATGACAACGTATACCGATGTCACTTGTCCCCGGATAAGAATATAGTCATTTCTTACGTGATCCTAGCATTTAACCGTCATCTTCCGTAGAGCCCAACTCTGCTGTACGCAGTTCAATCATCGTTCTTGGTCATTTGTTAGAAAAACTGTCTTCATGCCATACATCAGCACTGACCTGACCGAGGCAAGGTAAAGGCGGACTTTCATGCTTTCTGATCTTGACTTTCCGTAAGATCATCCAGCGATTATCCACTGTTCACTTGCTCTGGTCTGTTAGTTTCCTCAACTTTGAGGCTGCATTTGATTCACAACATCATCCGACGATATGGAACATCTTGAAATGCTCTAGGATACCCAAGCATATCGTTTCTATTTTTAAAGAGAACCATGTCTGCTGTCGAGGTTGATGGGGATCTGTCTGATTGGTTGCCAGTTAACTGAGCAGTTCACCAGGAAGATGTGCTTTTGCCTTTGCAATTCAACATTGTTTTCGACTTTCTTCTCTGAAAAAGAGCTGACTGTAGCAAAGACGAAAATTTCATTCGAGAGGGACGGTGTAGTTCAAGATATCCGACTTGACATCTTGCTGGCCTGCAGTACGCTGATGTAATGTTTTGGTGAGTAGTACGTGAAGCAAGCTCTGTCACCTGATAACTCCTTTGCGCAACATAGCTGCGAAAGCCGGTGTTTACCTTAACGCCCCGAAGTCCAAAATTACGAGGAACGCAAGAAGCGGCACATCTACTAGTCGAACAGAGAGGGAAGTCGTAGGTCAATCATCTCCAGCGATAACACCATCTAGTCAGAATTAAATGAAAGAATCGCCCACGTATTCAGTTCTTTTGTTAACCTGGCGAACATTTGGGCTGAGAAAGGAATAGCTGTTTCCATAAAAATCCGCCTGTATTTCTGTCAGATCAGCGTTGTTGTACGGCATGGAAGCATCGTTTAACGAAGGAGCATCAATGACGGTTGAATTGCGTGCAGGAACGTTGGCTTAGACCCATAATGAGGGTTAAATGATAGAATCCACTTAAGGAATGACTCAGTTCTCTTCCTAGCACACGTGACCTCAGTAGATGGGAGATTAAGAAAGTGAGTGTAGCCCTGTTAGAGAATCTAGTTAAGCGGAAACGATTTACTCGAGCCCACCAGCTTTTCGGGCGGGAGCTAAAACACAGCAGCCTTCATCTGTGAAGTCCTTATGCAATTCGGAGAACGTAGAGGCAGATCTGCTTTCAGGGAGAACATTTTATTCTATGATGCAGT